TGCTATTAAAATTGAGGTACGAGACATAGTAAATCATATGATCCGTACCTCAATTTTAATAGCACACCACCCATATGTAGATATTAAGATTTTAAGGGATTTTTAAGTAAATATTAATGTGTAAAATTAATCTGAATCAATGGGAAAATTGTCGGGTGAAGTCGGGTTCGGGTTAAAACTTTTGCATCCAGGTATGGTACCCTACCCGAGAACTAATCAGAACGCATCTTTTGCTGACATTGTGTCACAAACAAATAAAAGTTTACGTTTATTATAAAGCTTTAATTCATTGGAAGAGCCGAAAGTAAGAAGTTAAATTTAGGAAAAAAACATTTTAGGTGATAGTCTCAAATCATATTGTAAAACTCAATGGACAACTGCTTGTGAATGTGTTAAAAGTAAATTACGTTTAGACGCAGACCCATTATATTAAGTACAATACAAATTATCTAAAGATTGAATAAAAAGTTATCAGAGTAAATTTCTGTTATGAATTATATACAATATTTTGTTAGACACACATCTCAAATTGATTTCATATGTTTCGTAGTCATATGATGGTTCCATGCATAAATTTTTCATCTGATGAAAAGAATTGCAATATTACTTAAAGTAACGGTTAAAAAAAAAATCCAAATAATTAATGTAATCAATAAAACTTTACTTTGATTTAAAGATTAATTTGTCAAATAAAATTAAGCAAGGCAGGTGAATAGAAATTATATTTTTATTATTTAAATTAATAAAAAAACTAGTAAAAGTATTATGGACAGAAAGTATGTATATCAAGCTAACGAATTGCGTGATAAATTTACTCATTCAATAAGTTCAATACACCACTATAAAAAGCCACCAAAATTAAAATTAATTTATATGAATAGAAAAGATTACAAATACACAAATTAATATATGTTTATACCTCGTCATTTCCCCCTAGTCTTTCTTTGTGACAGACAACTTCTTGAAATGTATCGTTATTAATAGTAAATTGAAAATCATGACTACGTAAAATTTCTTGTTGTTTAAGATTACGAATGTTAATAATATCATTTGATTTCAAATATCCTTGACAGTTTTCTAATTTACTAATATTAAACTTCCAAGTAATATATGAAGCGGCAAGACTCACTAAATTACATAAATAACAACATTAACCTTTTTAAAAATGAAAAAGGATAAAATTAAAAAATTAATGTCTACCTTCTATGTGTTCAGTTACTGGGGATTTATAACCTAAATTAATTCCAAGATATGTATTAGAAATTTTGTTTTTTAAATTAAATCTATCGGTGTATGAAGCTGCTTCTTTATTGCTTGTAAATATGACTTCCCAAAAAGAAGTCGAATTCGGTGTATTATTTGCAAAAATCTATATATATATAAAGAGTTAAAAAATTTTCTATATAGTTAAGATTAATAAATAAATATAATAAATATACCAATTGAGACCCGCTTCCTGTAGTATAGCGTAAATATTTAATTGCACTTAAATATTTTCCTGTAGCAACATGTTTTAAAGTTACAAAAGATCGGTTTTTGATTAATTTTGCCTCATCCATGACAATTTCCTCAAATACTTTAATTAATTCATTTACATAATGAATTCGTTCATTTTTCTTAAAAAATTCAGTTAAAAAATAATCATTTTGAAATGATTGGTTTAGGTATTTCTTTTGTTCCTCTATATCATTAATTTCGGCATTATAACATAACTGCCGAAAATTTAAGATAAATTTTGAAGTCTCGCCACCTTCTTTGTCAGGAATATATCTTAATAATTGTAATTTCCTTTTATTCGAATTCTTGAATAATGTAAAGGAAATGTCTTCTTTAAGTACATTAACAAGTTCATTTAAAGTAGTTATGTTTTGAGAAATATCAATGGTAGGATTAATAACCAACATTGCAAATTTAAGGATTTCATCGTCTCTTGTAATTTGCTTAATAAAACAATACGCTTGAACTTGTTTAATCCATAGATTTGGATGTATACTTCCATCATAAATTTGAAGTTCCATTTTATTAGAGTTGGGGAGTTTATTTTTTTTGGAAAGAGTCGATTACTATTCATTTTATACCTAATTTTTCATAAAGTTGTACAAAAATATTATTTAGCATAGTACGATGATCACATTTTTTTTAAAATCATGTGACTTTAAAATTATTTGAAATAATCATTAGAAAGATAAATGATGTCCGGCACAAAAGACGGGAAATCATCAAAATATAAATTATTATAAATTTAAATAATAAAGTTGTCTTTATCAGAAAATACGCGCCGACCCAGGGAAAGTTAATTTAAAAGAAACTATGCTGTAGTAAATTACATGTAATTTTCTAATAATCATATTATATTATAATAAATTTTTTTTTTCCAAGCAAAAATATGACTAGTAGTAAAGTAAGACCATTGAATTCTCCCTTTATTTTGCTGACATTTATAAAATTAGGTTTGAAGAAATCGAATAAATCTATCCCGATGCATAATATAAAATTATTTAAGCGTGTGTTAGACAAAGGAGCGATTGAATTTTTATGGCATAAATATTTTAGTAATATGGCCAAATATTTTCATGGAGAGAAATTAAATTTTTTAATTAAAAGCTATATTTTTCGATGTTTTTTAATAATCGTGTTAATATCTAACATTGTACATTTCTGCACATTTCTTGAAACAAATATACAATTCCATGTTCATTTTCATATACTTACAAGCCTTTTGTAGAAGAGATTTAAATAGTTCCGTAGATGTCAGTAGTACTTTAAGCAAACTATGGTCGAAAGTTATACTGAACTGTAATACTTATGAAATATTACGGTCTAAAAAAAAATTAAGCATTTTAATTTATATAAATTTGTAATTTTTAAAGAAATTCTAATTATTGGTATTTACGTCTTTCACAATCACAACTAGCTAAAGTAAATAGTTGTTGAATTCTCAACATCATCGCGTCCGACCGCCTTGTTTGATTTAGTAAATGGAACCTGCCTTGTTTCTTGTACATGGTGATAAAAAATAATCAATGAGATGTTATTATAACGAACCTCTCTATAACGAACTCTGGATATAAACGAACTTTAAATTTTTAAATTTTATATTAATTCATTATAAATAATAGAATGATCCTTATAAAACATAGTATAGAACTTTTTTTATTCTTACAGAGCCACCAGACTGTACTAAACAAGTGACATTAGAAATACTGTAATTATGTCATATTAATGTGTGTATATGGGTAGTGTGGTGTGCTATTAAAATTGAGGTACGGAATAATATTTACTATGTCTCGTACCTCAATTTTAATAGCATACCACCCATATATATATTTGCGTGGTTTGTTTCTTTCAAATACGTTTTTCTTTTATAAATTTTGACTTGAAATGTATGTTATCTCTTATTTTATGGAAATAGCTTAGCTATTTTATTTTTATTTTATTTTTTTAAGTGGTAAAAAAAGCTTAGAATTTTATTTTGCAATTATAAAAGAAATATGAAAAGCTTGATTGGTGAAAGTTTATTTAGAATTATTAATGTAAATTTTTCTTTTTATTAAATATATTAAATATATAAAGTTATATAAAGCATAAATATACTAATTTGAAGCATATGCTAAAATTTAAAATGATAAAATTTGAGTATTATTATTTAATTTTTTTTTGTCCTTTCTCGTTGAAAAGCATCGCGTAATTCTCTTTTTATTAATTTAATATCAGAAATATTAAATAAAAAAAGTTAATTAATAAAGAATTAAATACCTTTTTTGAATCATATATTAATGAACAAAAATATAGAAAGTGTGTTTCTATCATCTAACTTTCTTCGCACCTTATTGTAAACAAAATTTCTTTGAAAGACCGCGAGAATTTTTTTTCAAGATAATGTTACACAAACGTCAATTTCGTCCAATAATATTTCGTTGTTCTTTGTAATTTAAATACAGAGCACGAAAAAATATGGTTTTCTTTAATAAATTTATATACTCATATTAGATATCATATTTAAAGAATCAACAATTTGGCTATTATATTTGCACTTTCAATATTACTAGTTTCACCGCTTATAAATGATATCTCACTGTTTATAAGTGATTTATCAATACGTAATTGGTTTAGGACTGGATGTTAATTTTGGAGTTGGGTCAAAAGTAAAATGTTCCATTATACGGTATATAATTTATTTAATATTACACATTTTGGAAACCATTTCGGATATGAGCATTGTATCGAGTATTTTGTTGATTTTTTTCAAATTAAAAATTTAAAATTATACTTAAAATAGCATTTTTTTATGTTAAAAAATCCTTCATAGAGTGTATAAATTTTTTTGACGATCGCGAATGCGTTATTCGCATTCGTGATCATAAATCCGCAATTTCACATATCTTTAAAAAAAATATTTTAATTTATTTTTTGTTGTTTATTACTTATTTCTTTGTTTGAATAAAAAAAAACACAAGTCTAAGTTCCGAAATCAGTTTACAGAAAGTGAATCCTTACAAAATGTAATGTCAACGGGTAGCCAATGCAATTTTGCAAAAGCAAATTTTTAAAATCAGATCTTTTAAATAATGAACATACGTCTCGGCCTCTATTTACTGTACATATTCTTTAAAGTAATTTGGTAATATTTCTTAAAATACATTTTTAAATAATCAAATCTTTTATTAATACAAATGAATGTTAATTTTTTTAAAGCGAATGTAAAAATAAGCATTCAAAATCTCTTTTAGTCAGAAGCAAACACAATCACGTGATTTGTTATTTATTAGAACACGACAATTTTTTTTTGAATATTTGATATCGACAATTGTGACTGGAATAGAGGCTTTAACTGACTTCATTTGAAAAAAACTGACCATTTGAATTATCTCTATAATTATAATTTTTAAAATGAATATATATATATACAGTATATTAAAAGGAATAAAAATTAATCCTATTATTACCCAAGGTTTTGTGACGCAAAAAAAAACAGCATTGTATTACGTTATATATATATATATGAAAGGTAAAAATAATTTTTATCATCCTAGTGACGTTGCTGACTTAAAATATATGCTATTTTGAAAAAGATACGGTTTATGTTAAACTAATATGAATGGTCGGTCACGGTACAAAGGAACTGTCTCTAATCCAATATTCCGATAATGTTCGATTTAACAATTAATAGTAATGTTCGGAATCTTCATTTAAGAAGAAACTTGAATGAAAGACGTTTTATTATTTAAAAAGCAATAATATACTCATTTCTCAATTTACATGAAATGAAATATCAATTTAACAAAAAAGTATAATTATGAACTTTAGAAGAAAGTTATCTTGATATTTCTGATTTAAATTTTAGTACCTTAGGTTATGAAGTTCCGTTTTTTGCATCCGTTTTTCACATTGTGCGAAGCATGTTTAGCTCATATTTAAGAACAATCCTTTTATTTTTCTTTCTATTATTAGAATCAAATATTTTCAAAATTATTATCTTGGTTTTTGTCAATTTATGATGGAAACAAAACATATCGTTTCTGTGATGTTAATTTTTGGTTAAATTTAGTATTTAAAAATAAAGATTATTGAGAAATATTAATTACAATTAATTAATTATTTTTTTTTCATTTTATTTTTTTTTTTACAAAAACCAGCAACATAATTATTATCGTTATTTCGTCATTATTCAATTATTAGGTATAATTAAAAATAAATAAATATCTATCTATATTAATCTATGTATGTGATTTAAAATTTCCCATCTTTTAAAATTTTACAAATCTTTTACGTTTAGGAACAGGTTCTTTGGCTGGTTCTTGGGAAACACAAGTACCTGCGTAAGAAAATGCTGCTTGACAACCTACATCACAAAAATTGGGACCAGTACCACAAAATCCTGTACCACCACAGCATGGAGCACTGAGAGTATTACATTTATGACCTCCCATCTTTGGACATCCATTATTAGCAAGAGGAACTTCTCCAACACCTTTGATAGTAACTGTTTTGTTGAAAAAAAAAATTATGTAAAGGTTAGATAGGTTACATTAGAATTTAAAGTACAAAATCTTAAAAAAAAAAATTTTTTTTTGTACTCACAGAATGGGGAATACCCGTAATTTGCAGGATCATTTCCAACAGTTATAGAATAATCAATCGCAGTCACCATTGACGGTGGTACAAAAAAAGTGCAACTTAGTACTAAAAAGAAAAAGGAAAAGGAATTATTCGATTAGTTTTTATTATCTTTCATTTCGTCCCTCTTAGTAAGCATCACGTTTCTAACATACCTTTAGGGTCAACCTTTTCGCAAATTTTCATTTGTTCTTTTAAATCTTCCGGTGGACCTTTGACTAAACGTACATCAACCGTTAGTTCAGTTGGAGTTACTGCATTCAAGGTCCAAGTGACATTATAAGGTTGATTGACATCCAATACATCGCCCGATAATGGGAATGTAATCGTATATCCAGCATTGGCACGTGAGGTACATAATATAGTCAAAAGGAATAAACATAACAATGATTTTGCCATATTTGAATCGTTTTATAAATCCGGTTTAAATGAAAAGGAAGAAAAAAATAATTTTTCAAGAAATGTAAAATTACTTTTTTTTTAGTTGAATATAACGCGGGCTTTATATATAGGATACAAGATTTTTTTTCCCGATTCACGAGACAATTTGCGTTAATCTCGAAAAAAAAAAATAAACTAAAAATAAACAAAAAAGTAATGAATGTTTCAATTTAGTATAATACTTAGATGAAATACCTGTTTATTTACTGTATTTATGAATGAAATTGTTTATTTGTAGACCAAATTAATATTTAAATTATTTAATATTTTTAAACGGTTACAGACATGAAACATGTAATGCATGTTATTATTACAATCCTTTTCTTTGTGTATGTCATCTTGTTACACCAACGGTTCCCACCGTCAGTTCCTCCAGCCATTTCCGCCAGTAAAAAAATTCAAGTGAGAATAATAAATGGGCTTGGGCAGTAACTGGTAATACAACATGATAATCTATATTATTGTTGGTTGAAAATGTCGGTTCTAAAATAAATCTTAGTAGTCGATCAAGAAGAAAAAAAAATTTTTTTTTTTTTTTTAAAGTTCGTCTTTGAAAATTCCCAAAATCATAATTTCATCATGCAAATATCGTTGTCTTTAAGACACAACGCACAATCATAGATTATCAATCGTCATTTGATTAAGTTTTACCTCCTTCCCCACCCAAGTATATTTATTTTTAGATTGGAAAGAAATTTCCTTTGAAGGCCACAACATTAAAAAACCTGATATCGGTCGATTGTACCACGATACCACAGTAAACATTGTATGATGTAATATGGATCACGTGATAGGGACAGTAAGAGAATTCGATCAAAAGAAGTAGGAATGTTTTGTGAAAACATCTGTGTCACTACGAATTGCTTGCATCAGTATGAAATTAACAAAAATAAATCAACGCATCGTTAGATTGTTAGATTGTTCTAATTTGTTGTGTTTTTTCTTTTCACATTTCTTGAATTTTGAAATCAGTTAAAAATAGGTGGTGAATTATGGAAAAATATTGGTTTCAGTCTATTTTTAGGCTAAGTTGCTAAGTTTACAAAGAACAAACAATCTCATCCCGGTTATGAGGAAATTGGTATCTATGACATCAATCATTCCTTTAATATAACAAAAATATGTCATCAAAGCAAATTTGACTATTTTAAGTAATAAACATAATTGGATTGTCTATTATTTATTTCTTTTTTATCAAAATTTTGACAATATTTCACACATAAAAATATTACGATTCCATGACCACAAAAATTGAACCTTTCTATTACCGGCTTAATTATCAAGTTAAGCATGCGGATGTGCATTGAACTCAAAGAATTCATAAAATGTTTGAATATAATTTCAAAGATGGAATTGAAGTTTTAAGAAATAATAAATGATATAAAAAATTTAATTACCAACTGTAGCAAAAATTAACTTCCATAACTTTTAATTTGTCGAATAGTTACACTAGTGCTCCGAAAGGCTCGATTCGGATCGGGTTTATAACTCGAACCCAACCCAATTTTGTAATCAACTTATAAAAATAAACGGGTCATTTAAATAACCTGAACTTTGACCCAACCCGATTCGTTCCGACTCAAATTTTAATAGTCCAAGTATATTAGAAATTTTATTTCATAATTTAAATAACAGATTTCAATCGCATTGGAAGAAATCTTTTTTAAAAGTTTTTTTGGTAAAAAGTTCATTACGCAAAACTTTTCGTTTTTTCGAGTAGTTTTATTGTCAGGCTATGGTAAGGTCAATAGCTTCACTTGATAATTACAAATGAATATCGTTATAAATGAAGTTAGAAATTTAAGATGTGTAGCATAAACTTGAATATCTCATGTAAATCCTTCGATTACCCCCGGGTTTTAATTTGGGTCAAACATTACAAATGCTAATTCTAATTTTTAGTTTTTAAAACAATAATTTCTAGCCACTTTCCTATCGCTCCAACAAAAATATGTTGTTAAAGTTTTGAAGAATTAGTAAAAATTAAAATGTAAAATACAAATTTATAACGTAAAAGTGCTTGTTTTGTTCAATTGATATAAATATCTTAAAGTCTAAAAGATATGTATAATATTAACATTTGGCGCGCTATAAACCTATAAAGTAGTAAATTAAAATACTCAAATTTGTCTCAATAAAATTATAATACTGTTTCAGTTAAAGGCCTTTGACGGACCATGACCGACCGTATTTTTAATATATTATAGTTGCGTGCAATTCATTTTATAAACGATAATAATTATTTTATTTTGTCTTTCGATGAAATTGTTTATCGAAGATTATTTAGGAGTTTTTCCCAACATTCATTGTATTATTTTAAACACACCATTTCGGTTTACAAAAGGTTTAGAAATAATTGGTGAAGTAAATGAGAAAAAAAAATAAAATATAAAACATCAATTGATAAAATCTGATATATTGAATTTGATTATTAAAGAATGTCTTAATATGCTAATAAAATTATGGTCATAGAATTTGATTTCATCATACTTCTGAACTGTTAAATTCCATTTTCTAAATGATATAAAATGGAAGCCTTAAAATTTGAATCATGCTTCCAAGTTGGATATTGACTTTAGAAATGATTTGCATTCAAAATTCAGCAAATTTTGCATTTTTTTAAAATTTGTTTATAAAAGATATAATTATATATATATGATTTACTTATTCCTTTCAGCCTATTTGATATGCGTAGCATATTGAACTTAAGCTTTAGTGCGAACTTATTTATTTAAACATTTTAATTTATAAAAATTATATTAATGTGTTTATTTTTAATACAAAAATTTCTTGGTTACAGCAAATAATACATAGTCGGTCGGTCAGAAGTATTTAACAGACCGACGGTAACGGTTTTGACCGGTCGTGACCCTGACACCCTAGTTGCAGTATGAAAATTTCAGTTCGCCAAATATATTAGATAATCATGTAAAAATAAACATCAATCCAGATCAGAATAGCAATAAAATTTTTATATGTTAATTTATTTGTAAGATCAATAGGATAACGATAAGAAAAATAGTAAGCAATAATAAAAAAAGTATTATAAAGGCAAACCATTTTTCTTGCAATAGTCAATAGCTTGCTTATGTTGTTTATAAGCAGCTAATCTCATATATTTCTCACCCAATGCTTCTTCCTTAATACCAGCTTTATCAGATAAATACAAAGTAGCGGCATTAAACATACCAACAGCTTTGCCATTTTCAGCGGCCTTGGTAAAATATAAAGCAGATTCTTTTAAATCCCTTTGAACTCCTACACCTTTAAATAAACAGTCACCATAACGTAATTGAGCTTCAGGAAATTCATCGCCTGAATCCGAAGCTTCTTTATATAATTTTGCAACTAATTTATTTTTATCTGTTTGGTCAATATCAAGTCTAACCAATTTTTGTTGAATATAATATGCTTTAAAGTATTTTGCTTTCACATCACCTAAATCAGCATATGCTTCAAAACATTTATAAGCTGATTCGCGGTTACCATCACGAAGTTTGTGTTGTTTCGCTGCTTCATCTACTGTCATGTAATCAAAATCCGCAAAATTTGGTATATTCATAATTTATTTACTTCTTCATCTGACAATTTAAGAGAGTTAGAGTCGGAAGTATCTAGACGATTTGGCACAGGAGGTGGTCCACAACCTTTCTTTTTAAGATCTTGTAGTATGGTAAAAATCTTTGAAAATTGAGGTCGAAATTTATGATCGTAATGAACAGCTAAGATATTAAAGATATTAAATTCACAGAAATATTTAAATGTAAAGAGCAATTATATTTAATTTACAAATAATAAATAATTATTAATACCATTGATTGAGAGTTCCTGGTATTCACTTGGTAAAAAAGAACTATGAGAAAATGGTTCACGATAATTTTTGATGCAAACTTGCTCTTGTATTGCAATAATATCCCCCCAAATCTCTCATAATGAATTCTTTCTTCGGCAATTTCCCAAAGAAGTATACCAAAACTATAAACTTCACACTTGGTATCATATTTATGTTTTTCACCATTTAGTAATATTTCTGGGGCGCAATACCGTACAAATTCTAGAGTGACTTTTTGATTTCTTGTTCTTTCGGATACTGATCGACTTGATTTAAAATTTGCAATTTTGGCAGCTTCATGAATTGTAATTAAGATATTCTCTGCTCTTACGATCTACGAGTTGAGTTATTCCTCCCCCCCCCCCCAAAAATAACAAATGGTTTGGGATGAAAAGATTTTTCTAAAAAAAAAAAAAAATAAAAAAGGGGGAGATAAAAAAAGTTACCGAAACAGTTCTCAAGAAATTTAATCCTCTAGCAATGTCAAGGGCCAATCTCAATTTAAGCCTATCTTGAAGTGGACCATGTATTCACGTAAATTGCCATAATCAGCCATTCTGTCACCAAGTAGAATTTATCACCTTCTGCAGTTAAACCAAAATATTTAAGAATACATTCACATGCTTGCAATTTTTTTAAAATTGTAACTTGATTTTTAATACTATTTTTATCATCTATACCGCTATCTTTATCAGCTGCTAACTTTAACGCGACATAATAATTCAATCCAGCTTTGCTTCTCTTATATTTTCTTATAGGGATGTTAAACGGTCCCAAATGACTGTAAACAAATATTGAAATTACGAGTTATAGAAAAGTCTGATCGCTTATCTATTATAAGTAACCCTTGATAAATAATTGTAATAATAAATTTTATGAATAACTTATAAAAGAAATATGAACTTTGGAATCG